CCATACATAGACACTACAGATGGAAAGCTTGTAAAAACATGAACTAAGAATGTAAAGAGGGCCAAGGTCCTGTTTTGGGAAATGTAGTATATCTTTTAAAGTTAACCCCCCCTCCCAGACCCCTACCTTTTATGTTGCCCACACCATTTCCTGCCCCAACAGCCCATTTCCCCTGCCCCTATACATGGCCTTTCATAGCACAGCTAGCTAAAGAGGACTGGACATGTCATGCCCTCCCATACCTTCTCTGGAAATTCAGAAATGCATAAGGTAGCAGTTGAATATGCTGAGGGGACCAACCTAAAGATAGGCACTCTTAGTTCACAAATTTATTTCAGCTCTCGTTAGATTATCTTATTGAAAAGGTAAGAGATGCAGAAACTGGAATGGAAGGCAGATGTGTTGGATTAAAAGAGTCTTGCACAAAAGAGAATGAATCAGAAGCTAGAGTTTAATGGGCAGTATTGCATGGAGTTTTACATTTAAATGCAAGTGTATTGCACGAGTTTGTATAACACGGGTTCACTTTGACAAATACAAAAAAATATGTTCTTTCTAAGCATTATCTATTCTAGGTCCTTCAGTGCAATTCTGTGGTATGCTTGCTGGAAGTTGACCATAAAGTCACACTGGAGGGCCTAGAGATTCCTAGAAAGAACACTTCCCTAGGCATTTGTAGGTCATCCAGTGTAACTCTGTGGTCAACTTCTGGCAGAAACATACCATAGAATTGCACTGGAGGACCTAGTAAATTCCTAGAGAGAATGCTTTGTCATTCATTTCAAGTGAAAAAAAAATATGATTCTATGTTTTACATGAAAATTATATTACACAAAGGGCCCTGGAACGGATTCCTCATGGACCCCCTGTATTAGAAACTTTGCATTGGTGTTGACATTTTTCACCACAGGGTGGCAACATAAGGTGATGTTGTCTTTAACATCAATTGGTGGGAATAACAGACAAGTCGAAGTAGAAGAATGTAGAAATCCCATGCCTTTGTGGCCTAAACAGTCCTTTCATAGATGAAGTTTCTTTGGGTTCTATACAGAATGTGTTGGCATCTTGGTTAAACTTTGTCTTAGTTCTGTTTGATTTTTGGTTTTTTGTATTGGGGGGTTGGGTTAGGCTTCCTTTATACAGGGTTGTAGTTAAGACTAGCTGCATATTACTGCTCTAACCGTAGTTGACTATTCTTATTTCTGCCTCCTTTATAGCTTTTTGCTATGATTTTTGCCATGTGCCTCTTTCGGGGGATCCAGTAAGAAGTGTTCCATGAGCAGCTGAGAAATTTCCAACCACATGAAGACAGGAAAGAAACAACTTTATTTTTGGTTAATAGAATGGGGCGGGGGGGAAAGGATTGTAATATATGGATGACCAAATGGATTGTACTTCAGGGGCTGGAACTTTGAGGTGCTGGACACTACATTGTCTTCTCCCAGGGGAGTCCTTCATCAGAAGCCACACACAATGGGTTGCACTAGAAACCAGGAAAACACAGAGGATGTGAACTCTGCAGGACGTGGAATTCACCTCTTCACATAACAGTGATGTATCAGTGATGTACTGGTGGGGAAAAGGAAGACCACCGGTTGTGAACACAGTTGATATTCAGCATCCTAAGGAACTGCTCAGCCAAAGCTTTGTGACATGTACAAGCTAGCCAACACTTAGTCAGCCAGGAAGAAAGATGTTGCTTTGACACTGACTTACCAGCCCTCAGCCAAGATGGGGACTGAACTATCACTTGTGAAAGATCCAGGCAGTGCAAAGGTTTCTTGAATCAGTAGGAAAGGATACTTACTGCCTTCACCTGGAATCTTACTGAGGGGTGTGAGACCTACTGTGTTGGGAAATAGGGGGAGGGGGGATCCTTTTCAAGGCTAGAAAGGGGCCATGATGAAACCAGACATTTAGTACATAGTTTTTGTCACAATGAGTTTCCTGATTACTGTTTTGTGAGATGAGGAAAAAATCAGGCAGTTCTGCTATAGACTTCCTCACCTTTGGGGGGGTTGGGGGAGAAGAGTATTATCATTTAGAATTGTTGGTGCTGTCACCCTTAGGAAGAATTCTTTTGGCTTATTTCTAAGCTTTTGAATGTTTTGTCACAACCATGTTATGTGCTAAATACGTTGACTCGATTCAACTTTTGTAGCCGTTGAGTAGCTTGTTTTCATGTTTTACTGTGCTTTTCAGCTGGGGGATGGGGAAATACCCATAATGGGAAGGAAACAGTGAGAAACTCATTTGCAGTTATCCTTTGCACATTTTCTTTTGTGAATCTTGTGGCATTGCTTCTGCTTGTCAGCAATTCTTAGACGTTTCCACAGCTGAAGAAAGAGTTGAGTGGGATGGGATGAAATAACATACCCTATCCAAAGTCTTTTCCCCCTCCAAAGCCAAGTTGTGGTTTTACTTGTGTGTGATCCACTTAGATCTTCAAATCTAGCTTGAAGAAACAGGCACCAGTTAGTAGACCTTAAAGGCAGAATGAAGGCACCAGTAGGTGTTGGTTATCTTTGTTGTGAGATTCCAAATGTACTGACCATACAACAGACACAAATGCAAACTTTGATGAATCAAGGGGACATGCTGCATCAAGGAGAAATCGTAAGCACTATATCCATCCAACATTAGAATGTCGCAGCCTAAAATCCCATTTTGGGAGAAAGGCAAGATATAAATTCAATAAATATAAATAAGGACACCACTTCATGGAAAGCAGTTGATGACTACACAGAGGGCATGTTAGTTAACATTCATTATACAAAAACTATGCCTTGGAGAAAACACGAATACCCATCTGTTATGAAGTAAACAATGAGAAAATTATTTTAAAAGAATATACCGTAATACCAATTATATTGAAGGTTTGACTAGTTGAAGAATTCAGATGCTGAGCTAAGTCTTCTTGTAGCCCTTGACAGTCTCTTTAACTAAAGGTGTGGTTTTCATGTTCCTTTAGCTAAGTTCTATACAATTTCTGCAGCAATGAAAATGTGTGACATCCCAGGAGGTGTTACTTGTGCTGATAATGCTTTTGTTTTGTTCTGTAACATATTGCCGCAGAAGTCTTCACACATGTGAAATATAATCTTGGCAAATGACATATTAAGAATGAAATATGTATAATGGAGAGCTGGAATTCTGCTAGTGACTTGAAAGAGTCTAGTGTGGGAAGAGATTATTTTCCCACCCCTGAATGAGCCCAGCACAACATCATGTGGATGGAACCAAATCATGACCTTATTAGAGCAAAGTCTGAAGGCAGAAGCAGAAGCACATACCAAACCACTATCTAGTCCAGTGTTTGCTCAGGCAGGCAATGACTATCCAACATTCTGTAAGGTGTGATACACCCTCCAGATGTTGCATTTGCAATGCCAACACAGCCAGAGTTTAAGGATCTTAGGAATTGCAGCCCTACACTATCCAAAGGGCCACAAGTTGCTCACCCCTGCTGAAAGGAATTGAACCTGATATGTTCTGCTGTGTGGCGAGTAAATGTTAAGCCACTGTGTTGTGGCTCTCTCTTAGGAGAGAGCTTTCTTTTAGAATAGCATGCCTCCTGAAAACTGAAATGGTCTAATGAGTAATAATCATTGCAGAAAAAAGAGCTTGGGAAGTTACTTTTTAAAACCAGTTCAGTTATAATTGCAAGGGTCCAAAAGTAGGACTTTATAGTTACTTTTTTAAAAGTCATGCCTACCCTTTTCTTAAGAGTAACAATTCCTTTTTAAAACGATTTTAAATTGAATGCTACAACCTTATTACAAATACCGACCAGAATCCCGTTGACTTGTTACATTTTGTAACTTTACATATACCCTTTTACTGAATTGTGAAGGTGTGTAATGGGACGCTGGTTAGAGCACCCATTGTGCATTTATACATATTGGCCACTTTGCTGGTTCTTCTACGTAGCATAACAACAGCCCTATACTGTATACAGATGTAATTACAATCCTCACAGATGTAATTACTTATGAAGATGTAAGGCCCCAGCAGAATTCAGGCCATGTTCTCTACATGACTACTTTGTTGTTGGCTCCATATCCACAACAAAGTAGCAGCACCACAATTTTGGTAGAGAAGTATAAAATAGTTTCACATCATTATGGAAACTGTTGCTGAATGCTATAGTTTCTGGTTAACAGTTCATGCTCCAGAGGTCTCATAGAAGGATGAAGCAAAATTGGAGAGCTTTTGATGTGGGAAGGAAACTCAAGGGGAAGGTATGGAATATATTTTAGATTTTGAGTATGAGACTTCAGAACCAGTTGCTAGTCCCAACTGTAGTACAACCACTGATTCAGTGGGATTTACATATACTTTTGCCATTTTTTGTTGTGTGCCTTCAAGTTGTTTCTGACTTATGAGGACCCTAAGAAAGCCAACGTGGCATAGTGGCATTGGACTACCACTGGAGAGCAGGGTTCAATTTCTGCTTAGTTATGAAATCAACTGGGTGACCTTGGGCAAGTCACACTCTCTGTCTCAGAGGAACGAAATGGCAAACCACCTCTGAAAAATTTTGCCAAGACAAAAATCTTGCCATGATAGGTTTTGCCTTAGGTGAGGGTGAAAATTTAGGGGCCAAGTGTCCAAAATGAAAGGCCTTCTGGCGCCAGGTGTTACCTGGTGCCAGGGGCAGAACTTCTGCTCTCTGGGGGCAGGACTTCTTCCCCCCTCACTCTCCCGCACCTTCAGCTGCCTCTCTGTGCCTCTTCCTCCTGCCCCTGCACTGTCCAGAGAGGCAGCTGAAGGCTCGGATGGCCAGGAAGGAGGAGGAACAGGCACACACCCTCCGCATGCCAAGGAAAATGCTTCACGTGCCATCTCTGGCACACATGCCATAGATTCACCATCACAGGCCTTAGGATCACAAGTAAGAAACTATTTGAAGACACACAACGTGCAAAAGGTGGACCTTTCATAGGGATTTTTAGAGCTGAGAATGTGTGATTCACCTAATGCTACCCAGTGGGTTTCCATAGGGGAGCAGAGAATTGAACTCTGATCTCCTGAATCATAGTCCAACACGCAAATCACTCCACCACACCAGCTCTAACCAATTGATTCAATTGATCTACTTCATTTGGGAACAGCTGTTAAATTTAGACCCAGGTTTTGACAAATGCAAAGCTAAAAACAGTCCCTAGCTTTTTTATGTTGTAAAAGGAACAATTTTGCAAATGATTCCTTTGAGAACTCTCCAGTGAGAAAAAGATGGGGGGGGAGTCCCTGGTTTTAGTTGCTGTTGGGGCCCCACCAGACAGAAGATGCACCTTCCTAAGGTCAGCTGCAATTCTGAATTCACTGGCTTGAAATAAAAAAATTTTCTAGTGAAACAAATGGAAATTCCAAGTGCAAACAGACTATCAAGATTAGAGTGTTACTTTCCAGTGCTGTTACAAAGGAACAACCCTGAAGTTGGAGCTTGATGCACATTTTGCCTCCAGTACTGTTAGAAATGACACATTCTAGCATGACATCCGCTGGCCCAAGTCCCTTTAAAATCTGTATGGGCAGTTAAAAGGTCTTGCACAAGTTTTTCTCTTCTGAAGTAGAGGTTGCAAAGGAGAGTTTCACACTGTCGTTTTGTCCATCTTCTGGTTTTGTGTTTGTGAACTCAGATCAACCCAGTTCCTTCCATTGTCTGTTGTTACCACTGTTGCAGGTGGTTGGGAAATCAACCACTTGTCAAATAAATGTTGAAATCTATTTTAAATGTTCCTTTTATTAGAAAGCTAGAGCTAATTTAACTTGTATTCCCTATTGTAATGCTTTTTATATTGAAAGAGGGTTTTTGTAACATAAAACACTACTCTGAAGCATTTTGCACAATTTCTGTGTGCATTTCTTTAAAAAAAATAAAGATAAAAATAAAGACACTGTGATAACCAAGTGGCTTTACTTTTCACAGTTCATGTCTCTCTGTGTGTGTTTGCTTTTTCTCAAAAGAGTAATAGCATGTTTATATAGTAACAGTGAGGAAGGAAAATGCAGAACACTGGCTCTATCAAGAACTGGAAATAGGATACAATCCACCTACAGCTGCTGTTTTTTCTTTCTTTCAGATTATGAAGTTGAACCATAAAATACAGGAATGTGTGTTAAACCATTAGTTTTTGAAATAATACATAAATGTATGACTAGCAGTGTTATGCACAATAATCTACTACATTTGAATGTATGTTTTGTTTTGATTTTTAATTCAGCACAAAAATACAAGCATTCTCCTGACTACATTTGTTGGTTTCCAGGGAAAGTTGCCTCAGTTCTCACATTTTTAATAAGTATGTGGGGTCTTTTATAAATTTAATAATACTTTCTTCTTTGATTGCTACTATGTTCATATACTAGCCAGCTGACCAGAGGGGGCATATTCCTTTCCTTGAAGTAGTTGTGACACCTTAGACCAGAGTGGTAGAATTCAAAGACACAGCTGTGTTAGTCTGTAGAAACAGTATGTAGAGAGGTCTTGTAGCACCTTTGAGACTAACAGAAAGAAATTGTCAGCATGAGCTTCTGAGGAAGCAAACTGAAGTCTATGAAAGCTCATGCTGCCAATTTCTTTCTTTCAGTTAGTCTCAAAGGTGATACAAGATCTCCCTTACATACTCACCTTAGACCAAGTTTAGGCAACTTCAGTAGGTTCAGGAGCTACTGAGCCTATGAACCATTGAACAAAACAAAACAAAAATGCCCCCAAAAGAAGGGGCTGGAAATCCACTTACAGTTTTTGAAACAGTTAAATGGGAGTAAGAGACTGCAAGCTATTTACAAGATGGGTAGTTGTTCTTGCAGGCTTCCAAGGGCAATTCATCTTTTTTGCCTGAAAAAGTGTTGGGTCTTGTGGGATTGAGTGACAAAAACAGCTTGTGGTGCACCCATTGCCTGCCCCACCTTTGTCAATTGTTACTACTTTGCTACTTGGGGTAGGTTGGTGGGATGAGGATGGACAAAGTCACACGCACAGTGGACATCTGCGTGTGATTCTATTGTGTGCGTTCTTGCTTGCAACTTTCAAGACAAGTTTGGGCAAATGACTTCTCCTCCCCCCCAACTAAAATTGGTTAGCAAAAAGTGGAGTTTAAAAAAGAAAGGAAGGCCCAAGGTTGCTATTTGAAAGCAATTATGATCACCACCACCCCACCCCACAACACTCAGTTCTAGTTTTTGGAAACCCGATGACAGCAACTTTGAAAGGATTCCTTTTTTCTGCAGCTGACATATCTGAAACAGACTAAGCCACAGCCCCACCATCCTTGGAACAAAATGCTCAAAGCCAGAGTAATTGCTCAAAATCAAACTTATTTCACATAGTATACAAACCATCTTTTCCAGAGACGAAGAATGGCGAGTGACACTTGAAGGTAACGTGAACAAAAACTGTTCCTGTGGAGGAGTTTAACCTCACACTGGACTACTAGTCACTATCTTTGGATTCTAAAGTCTACACTTGAATCACTACATTTATCAAAAATTGAAGACAATTTGAGGATTTCCACTTGATATATGGTCTTCACTTGACCATTAGCTGCAGTGCACATAGTAGTCCAAATTCAAGCAAGTTTGATAAATGCCAAAAGAAGATAAATGAGGCAGTCTTGAGGGGTGGGACTCACTGCAGCCAAAAGCCAGCATATGTTGCCAACTGTCCATGGAACATTCCTGTGCCTTTACAAATACAATTTGGTTGTTGACATGGGTATAAAAAGTGTTCCCTTGATTTTAAACATTAAGCACAATTAGCTGGTAGGTTAAGTTCTGCAGCCCAGAAGAAAGCAACCCAGCTGTGATTAGTCGAGTTGTTGCACCTTGGCCCATCTTAGGTGGTCTGTGTTGGTGAGAGCCTTCAAATCCACATCAAAAGATATAATTCTCCTGGTTTCAGGCAACACACACAAAAACCAATGTGAGGTGTATATTTAAAGGTAGAAGGCAGGAAGTTCTGTATGGGTTTTTTAAAAAAATAAAAATAAAAACATAGAAGATAAAATTCTAGAGCAAAGACTCAAGTGGCACAGAATGGGTTCACTCTATTCTAGGTTTGTGGCCTTCTTGAAGATAACAAGCACTTTCCAATTTCATCTGAAGTTATTGGCAGATCATTCCAAGCTGCAGGAGGCAAGTGAGAGACAGAAACAGACTACATCTCCAGTGCTGGCCTGTTTACCTCTTGACTACACTGAAAGTCTGGGAAAGACACACAAGCAACCCTGGACTGACTGGCAATACCTCAAAAGTCCCCACAATCTACTCTAAACTACCCTAACATCATTTTTTTAAAAAAACAAAACATAATAAATAACAGTGGATTCAATGAAGCAGGTATCAATGACACTTTTACTCATATGCTAATCCTGCTCTATTTTGGTTAAGTGATGAAATGGTTAAAAAACACTGATAACTATGAAAGTTTGGAATGTCATTAAAAACTGATAAACATGGCAGAAACCATCACAGATGAGGGAACAGCACATATATCCCTTGGCTGAATGGCTCCTATTCAGCATAGCTAAGCTACCCAGGGGATTGTGTGGCATTCATACCCTAAAAAAACCCTGGGAGTGGGACAGTGGGTAGGCAATCCACATGCAAACACCTTTCTAGAGCTATGGTTTACAACAGGATACATTCAGTCATTCAATACATGTAATGGGGGGCAGCATTCCTGTTGGGATAACATGCTACCAAACAAATGAAGTGACATAGGAATCAACAGAACATGGAAAAGTTAATTTTCTGGCTGGGGTGTTCTGTAGTTTCAGTTCAAAAATTAACTTTCCCAAGCTCTGAGAATCAAATTTAGACCACCATCCCACTCCATCCCTATACACACATCTCCATTTGCTTTCAAGAACATTTCCAAGATGACCAACAGCCAAACCAAGGGGTTTGAATTAAATGCCAATTTACACATCACTGTGGTGCATGTGCTGACCTAGCCAATGAATACACAGGAGCCTTGTTTATAGCAGCATATTCCTGAAATTTCACTGGCTACTTATTTATAATTGTGTTCCAACATAGGTAGAGAACATATTTTCTCTTGCAACATAAGGGGATGAATGTCAGAAGTTTCTAGTGCCCTGTGTTCAGACTTGTTTGCTTTAAGTAACTGATGTGAATGGATGGTTTCTTCCTTGGTCTCTTACATGCTTCCCTTTTACCAATGTTATTTCTGGAACCATGTGGGTGGGGATGGCTTCTGTAATGCCTGGTACCACAAAGAATAAATCAGTACATGCAGCATCCAGTGGGAAGAGGGAGTGACTGACCCATGGGGGAGCAGTAGGTGGTTCAGATATTTTCATCAGTCCTCCTTCAAAAATCCATTAGCATGCTCTTCAATTACTAGGCTCACTGGTTCCTAAAACATCAGAGGTTTGCAGACATGGCAGTGATATTAACACCCAAGAGATCACTTAGGTGCTGAGCCCTGACTTCTCAGACATTGAGCCCAAAATGGTTTTAGTATTACTACTAGCACTGCCTGTGCTCTCTCTGAGGCAAGAAACTTCTTTTGGGGCAGGCAGCATAGCTTTCAGTCTGCAGGCCACTGCAATCCTCCTAGTTTGCCATTCACAAGAGTTATTTGGCAGTTTTCGCATTTTGAATTCAGCTTTGAGAGACTGCTCCATTTCCACATGTCCCTTAACTTTGATCATGTGTCGCTTTTCTCTGTAAAACTAATCCCCCCACAACCGCCTAGGTCTGATTAGCCCTTGTTAGCTCCCCATTCTCTTTTCTCACCTACTTTGGCCTGCCATCATTCTCCAGACTAGCTTTGATCTCTCCTCCTCCAGCTCTGATGGCAGTAGTAAACACCAGTTCTGGATTTATACATTGATGCATGCCATAAGGAAGTGTGATTTTAAAGACAAAATGTAAAAATGTACCCAAAAAATGAACGTAAAAGGTTTGACAAGGCCCTCTGCTCACTGCCCTACCCACATCCCAGAAGTCTTGAAGATTAGACTTTCTTGGGCCTGCGTCCAACTTGGTAATAATAATAAAGGCTGATAAGTACAAAGAGGACCCGGCTGGTAAGGAGGAG